AAAAAAGTTTTTTATGCTATTTTTTGCTATTTTTTAAGTTTGAAATTATTTCAAAAGAAAAACATTTAAACATGAATAAAGAACTCAGAAAATCACCAGAGAACAATATGATTATGTAATTTTCTTTCTGAAATTCTCTTGGAAAGACAAAAATCACATAATACAAAGTCCAAAAATCACTAAGAAAAAAACTAATAACTTTGACTATGTAAAAAGTAGAAAGACTTTGCATTGCAAAAATAAATGCATATACGAGATAAAAATCAAACAAAATGGAGACAGAAACTAATTTTAAACAAGAGATTATTTCCTTAATTGGAAAACCATAACCCAATAGAAAAAAAGACATGAACAGCAGTTTCCAAAAACAGAAATCCAGACAGGCAGAAAATGTGTTCTATCTTATAAAGAAATGCAAATCAAAATCAGAAAATAAGATTGTTTTCACTTAGAATAAAATCTTAACATTTGCTAATTAATCATGAGAGCAAAGAAAAACACATTCATTCACTTTTAGTGAACCATAAGTTAATATACAATTTAGAAAGGAAAATTGCCAAAATTTATCAAAATGTAAAATTCACACTCTTTCCTCAACAATTCCACTTCCAGGAATTCATATAGTACGCACAGAAGTAAAACCAAATATATTTATAAGGAAGTCCGAAGCAGTATTTTTTCATAACTGTAAACACTAATAACAATGCAGATGTATCTCAAAAGGGAATATATTTAGGCAAAGATGGTATATCCACACAATCCAATACCATATCACCATAAAAAAACTAAAGTAGATCTGTATGTGCTGAGAATATTTCTAAAGTATATAACATACATGTTAATAATGGTAGAAAGAATACAAATTCAGAATAAGTATGATGATCTCATTTAAATATTAATAACATAAGAATATATTTACATGTATGTACACACACATACACATGTGTGTCTATCCCGTAAACATTTTTCTGAAAAACTAGAGAAGCGGTAGTCAATGGTGTTATTATTTGGAGGCGATAGAAATGAGGAAAGGTAGATTTATCATTTTGTATCTTTTCAAACTATTTGTACTTTTACCATTTCATCAATTTCTCTTTTAAAATATAATTTTTAAAAGGCCTATTTGAAATGAACTGCAAATTGTTTTACCTATTAATAATACTCCTGTGGTTGTTTCAAATACTGCTTGACTTTCTTTTTAATTCACACTTATATTAATTTTGAACATAACAATTACCTGCAATGGTTTGACAGGGGCAGATACTTCAGTTACAGGTTCAGGTTTTGGAATGCTTTCAACCAATTCCATAATGCCTTGTAGTTTTTTATCCGAGATCCGTAAAGAAATAAGAGGTAACTTTCCAAAAATCTTGAATCTGTTTTAAAAAGATAGGAATCATCATAGAGGAATTTTCATTCTGATTTAAGTGCACTAATTTTTAAAGAAGACTTCTCCTCAAATTATCCAAATTAAATGTGATTTAAAGCACTAAAAATTTCTACTCCAATTTTCATCTTACCTTATTAACTAGTCTCATTAGATGTGCTAACCTCATTGTTTTTCAGAGGCTTATTTTCTAATATTATTTCATTTATTTTTCCCTCTACTATTTGCCAAGTACAGTTGAAAATTAGTATTTATCACCTGTTCCGGAAAAACCCACAGCTAACATCATATTTAACAGTGAAACAATGAAAGCTTTTCTGTGCTCAGGATCAAAACAAGGATGTCCACTTAAACCACTTCTATTCAACAAAGTATTGAAAAATTCTAGCAAGACCAATTAGTCAAGAAAGAGAAAAAGGCAGCACCCAAATCAGAAAGGAAGAAATACAATTACCTCTGTACACAGATGACATAATCTTGTATGTAAAAAACTTAAACCTGTTCGAATAAACAAATTCACAAAGTTGCAGGATATAAAAATCAGCTAAGTTCCCATACACTACACTAACAATAAATAATCCAAAAAAGAAATTAAGAAAACAATTCCATTTACAATGGCATCAAAAAGAACAAACTTAACGAAGGAGGCAAAAGACTTATATACTGAGAACTAGAAAACGTGGCTAAAATTAAAGAAGACACAAATAAATTGAAAGACATCCCATGTTCATGGACTGGAAGCATATTATTAAGATGTCAATATTATTAATATTTAAAGTGATGTACAAATTCAGTGCAATCTGTATCAAAATCCCAATATGGTTTTTTGCAAAAATACAAAAATCCATCCTAAGATTCATGTGGAATATCAAAGGATCCCAAATAACCAAAACAATCTTGAAAAAGTACAAAATTGGATAACTCACACTTCCTGATTTCAAAACTTATTATAAAGCTACAGTAATCTAAACAGTGTGGTACTGGAATAAAGACAGACATAGAGGTTAAGAGAATAGAACAAAAATCCCAGAAATAAACTCTTGCATATATGGACAAATAATTTTCAACAAGGCTCCCAAGGCCATTCAATGCGGAAAGTACAGTCTTTTCAACAAATGGTACTGGGAAAACTAGACATAGTTAAGCAAAAAAATGAAGCTGTATCCTTATCTTACATCATATACAAAAATTAACTCAAAATGGATCACAGAACTAAACAAAAAAGCTAAAACTATAAAACTCTTTGAGGTAAATATAAGAGAAAAGCTTCATGACAGTAGATTTCTAATAATATCTTAGAGACGACACCGAAAGCACAGGCAACAAAGATAAATTGGACTTGCTCAAAATTAAAAATTTTTATGCATCAAAGGACACTATCAACAGAGTGATAAGGCACCAACAGAGTGAGAGAGAATGTTTGCAAATTATATAACTTATAGATAATAGGTTAATATCCAAAATATATCAAGAACTCCTACAAATCAACAAGAAAAACAAACAGCAAGATTAAAAGATGGCAAAGACCTTGAGTACAAATCTCTCTAAAGAAATATCTAAGTGGCCAATAAGTACATGAACAGATGTTCACTATAAGTAAGTATTAGAGAAATGCAAATCAAAACTATAGTGAGATACCACTTCACATCTACTAAAATGACTATTAAATAAAAGCAGAAAATAACAAATGTTGGGGAAAAGGTAGAGAAATTGAAATCCATTGCATTGCTGACAGGAATGTAAAATGTGGCAGCTGCTATGAAAAACAGCAGTGTTCTCCCAAAACTTAAACACTGAATTACAATATGATCCAGCAATTCTACTTCAAGTATATAGCCAAAAAAATTAAAATCAGGGACTTAAATAGAACACAGTAGCATCATTACAACAGCCAAACAGTATAAGCAACACAAATGTCCACTGAGAGAAGAATGGATAAATAAAACATAGTATATACATACAAGGACTATTAACCAGCCTTAATAATGAATGAAATTTTGACATATGCTACAACATGGATGAATCCTGAAGATACTATGCTAAGTGAAGTAACCTAGAAACCAAAAGACAAATACTGTATTATTTCAATTACATGAAGTGCCCAAAATAGACAAATTCATAGAGACAGAAGACTGAATGGTGGTTGCCAGAAGCTCAGGGCAGGGCAGAATGGGGCGTTACTGTTTAATGGGTATGATAGTTTGGTAGATTTAGAAGTTCTGGAGATGGATAGTGGTGATGGTGGCAAAATAGTGTAAATGTGCTTAATGCCACTGAACTATACACTTAAAAATAGTTAAAATGGTAAATTTCACGTTATGTATATTTTACCATACACATAAAGAAGAGTCAATTAAATATGTTATTTCCTTCGCTACAGAATTACTGAGAAAATCCACAATCCCTTGGAACAGACAATACATACTTGGGCATCCTTAAGTCCATGAAAACCATAGCCTTAGAGAGTTCCACATTGAAGTGCATGGGTACCAAAATATGTTGTGTAGATACATTGAGTTTCCGTGCTTCTTTCCAATTATCACCTAATTACAGAAAATATTTCATGTTGAATAACACACAAAACCTAAAATTACTATTAATATTTCATAGTCACATGCTGTATGGTATAGGGAAATCTTCCCATATGTAGATAATCTTAATGTTACATTCCCAGGTACACACAATCACCAGGTAATCAAATCTGTGCATACAATGCCAATCCTTACACAATCCAGATACCTTACCACAAAAACAATATGGCTATAAGGCAACGAAGGAAAACGTAGAAAAAAGTAAGGTTTCCTTAATAGTAACTAATAAAAGCTACCATTTATTGAAGATTTATGACTGACACCATTCAAGGCAATGTTTAAATTTTAATTCTCAAAATGATGTGTAATAATTCCACTTTAGAAAATTAAGACTCAAGCTGGGCATGATGACTAATGCCTGTAATCCTGGCATTTTGGGAGGCCAAGGCGAGGGGATCACTTGAGGCCAGGAGTTCGAGAACCCTGTCTCTACAAAAAAATGTTCTAAAAAATTAGCTGGTGTGGTGGTGCATGCCTGTAGACCTAGCTACTTAGGAGGCTGAGGCAGGAGGA